AAGGGGACTGGCAAAGGGGAGTGGTTACCTGGCAGTTCACCAGAACAATCACTTCCTCCAAGTCCGAGGCCATGGTATTGAGCCAGAAAAGGGTAGAGAGCATTCTCAGGGTTGGGGAGGAGGTCATGCCCCAAGTGGAGGTGTTCAAGTATATTGGGGTCTTGTTTGCAAATGAGGGAAAAATGGAGCGAGAGATCGATAGGCAGATAGGTGCAGCGTCTGCAGTGAAGCAGGTGCTGTACCGGTCTGTCGTGGTGAAGAGTGAGCTGAGTCAAAAGGCAAAGCTCTCAATTTACTGATCAATCTACGTTCCTACCCCCATCTATGGCCATGAGCTTTGGGTTGTGACTGAAAGACTGAGATCACGGATACAGGCGGCCAAAATGAGTTTTCTCCGCAGGGTGTCTGGACTCCTCCTTGGGATAGGGTGAGAAGCTTGGTCATCCTGGAGGGATTCAGAGTAGCGCCGCTGCGTTGAGAGGAGCCAGTTGAGATGGCTCGGGCATCTGGGTAGGATGCCTCCTGGATGCCTCCCTGGTGAGGTGTTCCGGACACGTCCCAATGGGAGGAGACCCAGAAGAAGACCCAGGACATGCTGGACAGACTATGTTCCTCAGCTGGCCTGGGAACGCCTTGGGATCCCCCCAGAGAAGCCCAAGTGGCTGGGGAGAGAGACGTCTGGGCCTTCTTACTTAGGCTGCTACCCCCGGGACCCAACCCTGGATAAGCGGAAGAAAATGGATAGATGGATGGATGGATGGATGGATAAATGGAACTACCGGTAATTAAATCAATTAAACTGACTGAGAACACGCAGTGCACAGCCTTGTCTTAAGTCGCACTGACAAGCACCAAAATTCTGACTGTCGTGAACCAGCTGAGCGTTTTTAATCATCTTTATGTCATCCAAAAAAAAAAAGTAAAAACTAAACAACTGGACTTTATTTTGTAACTGAAGATGTTTCTCTTCTCATCCAAGGATCTTTCTCAGTTCTAAGAATGAGAGTGTGGAGTTTGAGTTAAAAAGTTGAGGTGGCCTTTTTTGGTCTTTTTGGTTCACATGGAAAGAGAGGACAGCATCAACATAGAAGTCTACAGGAAACCAACCAACACAGACCAGTACCTTCTGTTTGACTCTCACCATCCACCGGAACACAAACTCTCGGTCATTAGAACTCTACAGCAATGGACTGAACATGTCCCCATGAAGACAGAAAGGAAGGAAAAGGAACAAAAACATATCAGAAACTCTGATACAACATCCCAGTACATGTCAAACCCAACAGGACTCTCAGACAGAGGCTGGTCCACCCTAAGGACAAAACACCCAAACACAAAGAGAGTGGTGTGGTGTCTGCAGTCCAGCGCAGTGAGGAATGTCCAGATATCTATATTGGAGAAACCAAAAAACTTCTTCACAGATGCATGGCTCAACACAGGAGAGCAGCTCTGATGACCAAAATGCTCACATTGTGGACTGAGGAGACAGGTGGTTTGAGAGGGGGGAGAATGAAGCTATTTATGTAAAATGAGAGAAACCATCTTTAAACAGAGGAGGAGGTCGCAGATTCCAACTCTGAAACCTATACTGCAGCTTTTGGCCTGATACCCAGTCATTTTCATTCAAATCAAGAACTCCATTCATGTGTCCAGAGTGGTCCATCTGTGAGTCAGACCAACAAGACCCTAAGGAATGTCTATTGTGAGGAGTGAGAGGGCAATCTGCATATGAATCCAGTTTACAGAACACCTCAACTAATAATTCAAACTCCACGATCTCCATTCTTTAGCTTGAGAAAGATCCTCGGATGAGAAGCAAAATGCCTTCAGTTACAAATAAAGTCCAGTTGTTTTGTTTTTCTTTTTTTTTTTTTTTTTGTAACATGTCCTGGATGTTAGAAAATCTTCACCAGCATCTTTACGTTATTCTGTTTATGTTGCAGGGTAAATACATTTTGTCTCACAGCTGCTAGCAGCTTGTCAGTGGACTGTTCATGTTGGCACCTCTCAGTTGCTGTCCATGTCCAACAACAGGAAACAGACCAGGCTCCAGCAGCAGGAACAAATCTACAACAAAGACATCAACTTCTTCTGCTACCACCTCCACCTCTGACTTTTCAATGCCCAACCTGCCCCCAACTCCTCCTTGGCCCCCACAGTCATCAGAAAATACACAGGCAGAGGACCCAGCATGTGCCAAAGAAAAACAACTTGAAGTGCATGAATAGGCTCCTTAATTTGAAGGATGTGCCTGATTATGATGGTGTTCAGTAAAATGTTGGTGCCTGTGAAGATGATGTTATAAACACTTATGTGGTCGTGGGAGTTCAGAACCACAATGCTGCCTGTATGGAGCAGAAATGTTTAAAAACTAAAACCATTTACAGCAAAGATAAGATTAGGACAAGACCTGGGCAGAAGTGCTGCTGAGCTTCTGCAGGCCATTTTCCAGCCTCTCCATCTTGGTGCTCAGCTCTTCACTTCTGTGGCCGAGAAGGCTGCGGTACAGCTGAATCTGCTCCAGGAAGGACTTGGGTGTGGTGTAGTTGTAGCGTCGCTCATTAGCCAAGTACTCCTTGGACATTTGATTGACACTCGTGTGAACGTAAGCCATGAACCTGCTCACTGACTCCTTCACATGAGGCTGCAGGAATAATAAAAAAAGAAAAAAAACAGATGACTGTCCAGGTTTCGGACTCATTTCTTGAGGTTCACTGTAAGAATTTAACGTTCCTCGCCTCCAGTCAGGTCTTTAAATTAATCTCACATTAGTTGTGTTACAGTGGCTGTCATTTGAAATTATGTTCTCGTAGAACGAACGTCCTATTAGTCTGCGTGACGTCTAGTAGTGTGATTGTTTATGAAGCGTTCACTCTATTGTGATCTGTTGTTCTTCCGTAAGTTTTTCAGCATCTTTCTCGTTCCACAGTTTTTGTGTCATTTCAACAAATCACAAATCAAAACGTTCAGCTCTTTCAGAAGAATCCTGCTGTGGCTTTTGGTATTGGTCCAACTTTAGCTTTGTGATTTAGCCTTGTCTGCCATTTGTTTTCTCTCATAGAAAATGAATTGAGCTCATTTTACATCCTTTACATCTTTAGAGCAGTTTACAACCTTTTACTGCTCCTTTCACAATTTTGTTCTGCTGTTTTCATCTTCCTTGTGCAAATTTAAACATGTTTTCAGCTACTTGCAGCTAATTTCAGCTGTTTTATTCAGGTGTTTTGTACTCCTTTCAGATTCTTTCTGTAACTACAATCATTTTGTGCTTCTTCTAACTTCTGTCTGCTAATTTCAGCTTAATTTTGCAAGTTTCAGCTTGTTCTGCTATTTCAGCCATTATTTAGCTGTTTTTGTGCTAAGTTTAACTTTTTGAGCTAATTCCACATTTTTGCAGTCATTTAAGCTTTTTTCAGCTTAATTCGGCAAAAATGTGCTCTCTCTACTTCCTTCTGGTAATTTAAGTTTCTTTATGCTATTTTAGCTACTATTCAGATGTTTTGGGCTAATTTCTGATTTTTTTTTTTTCAGATAATTTCCACTTTTTTTGTGCTCATCTCTGCTTATTTCAGCCTAATTGGGCAAACATGTTGGGGTTTTTTTCTGTTTTCTTCTGCAAATTTAAGTTTGTACCATTTTCAGCTACCATTTTTTTTAGCTAATTTTGGCTGTTTTCAGATAAATTTAAGTTTTTTTGTGTGGTCATTTCTGCTCCTTTCAGCCTAATTAACTTCTGCCTGATAATTTCAGCTTGTTATGCTCCTCTCAGCATAATTATGCTAGTTTCAGCTTTTTCTGTCAGTTCAGCTACAATTTATCTGTTCTTATGCTAAATTTGTCTTTTTCAGTTAATAACACTTTTGTTTAGCTCAATCTCTGTAATCCACTTCCTTCTGGTAGTTTAAGCTTTCTTTTTACTTTCAGACATTTTTTGCAAATTTCCTAATTATTGTGCCAATTTCTGCCTACTTAAACCTAATTCAGCAAATCTGTATTATTTGTTTTTCTTCTGCTAATTTAGGATTGTTCTTCTATTCCAGGTACATTTCAGAATTTATTTTTTAACTAATTTCAGCTGTTTCTCAGCAAGTTCTTCTGAAATAAACATTCTGCATTTTTGCAGGAAATGCAATTTTTCTAGTTATTAAAATGTTCTCACTTCGATGTTCTCCACCTCCTGCAGGAACCGGAGGCTGACTGACTCCAGTGCCTCCTGTGGCCACTCGTGAAACCAGTCGATTGCTGTGCAGTTGACCACAGCGGGAAACTTCCTGCTGCGGACCCTCAGTTTGCTTCCCACAGGTGAGAAGCACAGAGCCACCTGCAACACACGAACAGATCACAGTTACGCAGTTTCTCCGTCTTAAAATCTGACCCCCCCACAAAAAAAGAAAATATTCAGATGAGCACTTTAGTGTGGTCAAAAGAGCATGTGTAAAACTGTGAATTAATTATCTGCCGTTCCATCATTAGGCAAATAGAGCTTCCAGCATGCATGTGATTTAAAAGAGTGCCATGAGCTGTGGGACATGTCAGACCAATTTTCACTGCTGGAGACTAACAGCTGGTTCGTTGAGACGCTTAGCCAGATGTTCAACGTTATTAAAGATGAAAAACAAACAAGCAGAAGGAACGCCCAAAGACACTACTGATGGTGATCAATCAGCTGCGGGGAAGGAAAGCACTGCATGCAGACACATGCATGCACCTTCTTTGGTAAAGTTTTTTATTTTTACAACAAGCAAATGAACTTGAAGATTCCAGTTTTAGTATTTACCTTATCATGTACAGTTTGGGTACATCAGAAGGTTTCTATTGAACAGTCTGAGCACCTGGAATTATCAGTATTTGGCAAGCAAAGTTAAATTTATTTCTGAGCACCTTAAGGCTTTGTCCACAGGGAAACACTTTTTTATTTAAATTAAAACTATATTTGTGTTTGTTGAAGTTTTCAAAAGCATTCTTTAAACACAGCACCGATTTTTATAAACAACTTTATTCAAACAGAACAGAGATAGTAGCCCAGAATGATGTAGTAGCACATCCAGGAATGTAGGTGGTGCTGAAATGCTGCCATGGATAGGAAGATTGCCGGTTCAGCTCCCGGTACTGACATCAACAAAATGTTGGTGGAATAGGTGAAGCACCCACACCTGCCTCCACCCTCATTTGCCCCACTCTGAGCCCTTGACCAAGGCCCTTAACCCCCACCATCTGCTCCCTGCTTTTAATCGAGCTCTTTGTGTCAGTCTGCATTCCTGGGTGCATCTACTCCAAATTGTGAGAACTTGATGCAAATTGTTGTAAAAGTAGGAAGTGGTTTTGTGCATCTGTTGAAAATTACAGATTAAAAAAATAAATAAATAAATATGAGGTATGGCTTGCGATGTTATCCATCCATCCATCCATCCATCCATTATCTTTTATCTGCTTCTTCCATTTTGGGTCACGGGGGTCGCCGGTGCCCATGTCCAGCAATCACTGTGTGAAGGGCGGGGTCACCCTGGATGGGTCGCAAGTTCATCACAGGGCCACATAGAGACAAACGAGACAAGCGGAGAAGGGGTTCTCTGCAGACCAAAAGTGGGCGTTTCTGGCAATAGGAGTTTGTGGGCGGTGAACACGGATTAGCTAACAGTATTTAATAGGCGTTTGTGGGCGGCAAATGCTGATTGGGCTGGGTAACCCTCAAAGTCACAAGGATTATTGATGAGGTAACGTTTCTTTGCGATGTTTGACAAAGAAATATGATTTATTGTACTTATAAAGTATGTTATGTTTTCACTTATGCATATTATTGAAGTATGTTTATTGTAGGTCACGATAGTTTCGACCGTTCTCTCGTTGTTGTCGTGCTTTAGAAGTTTAACTCATGTGAAAACATGGTGGGGAATTCCCATGCAAGTAACGCACTGAGGTAAAGTGAGCCTCCACTCGGCTCCAGCAGCCCTCACTGTGCACGTTTACAACAACTGGGTGTTGCTTTTCAAAATAAAAGCTGAAAATAAAAGTTCTTAATACTTGAAAAATAAATATTTTAAAGCTGTGTATAACTGAAAAATATGAAAAACAAATAAATAAAAGTTGTTATTAGCTGAAAAATACATAAATAAAAGCTGTTAATTATATATATGTCTTTCTGCCATGTCAGGAACCACTCTCACTTCAGGTTGACTCTAGAAGACCCCAAGATGTTGCTCAAAAACTTTGACCAACATCTGATGTTGACTTTCAAAATAAACTAAGCATGAAGAATTTCAGGCTGAGCACAGAAAGCCTTATGTAATTTCTGTCTGCTTCAGCTGTGGAGAAGAATTTAAAGATTGTGGTGCAGGTTTCTGGGGTAGTGGCAAAAGAGGAGAGCTGAGGGCATTCTACAGTGAAGCCATTACTCCTGGGTACTGCACCCACTTTTGTGCCATGGATGCAGGGTTAGTAGTCGGGCGGCTGTGGCTGAGTGGTTAGAGTAGTCGTCCTCCAATGCGAGAATTGGGGGATCGAATCCACCAGCAGTCACACGCTGAAGTGTCCCTGGGCAAGACACTGAACCCCTCATAGCCTCTGATGTGTGTCCCATCAGTGTATGAATGTGAGCTAAAAAGCACTGATTAGTCTTATTAGAATGATTTGTTCAATTAGCTTTGTAGAGATCTAGTAGAGTGCTGTATGAATGGGTAAATTAGGGCGCAGATTGTAGTGTAAAGTGCTTTGAGTATCTTGAAATAAGATAGAAAGGCGCTATATAAGTACAGTCCATTTACCATTCCATTTAGTCTAGCTTTTGTACTGTGATGCCCACACATTACAATAAGTAACAACTAGCAACACCCTAACTGTACAATGGTTTGTGTTTCCAATAGATGCTACAATGACTTCTAAAAATGGATGTCCCAATAAACACAATAAAAAAATTCAATGATACATCAAATGTTGTCTGAGTATGTTTTAAGGTAATAACAAATGTGAAATCTGGAAAACAAAGATAATTCCTGATTCTGTCTTGTGTGCTTTGATGTGTACATAAGTTTATTGGAGGTCCTGAAACAACTTTTCTGAGAACACAAAGATTTTTATTTTACCTTTGGCCAAGATGTCCGTTTGAAATCAGGCTGCTTACTGCAAAACTAAGAGTTTTTTTTAAGACGGTCTTCATTTGTATTGTTTTGTCGACTAAGTTAAATGTAACTTCTAAAATATGGATAAATCTGATCTCATCATGCAGCATAAGCAACTGGGTATAGGTGTGAGGGCCAAAAGTCTGGTTATGTACTGACTTCTAAATGTGCTTGTTTTCTACTTTTATGTTTTGGGTTTTTTTTTTGCTGCTCCTTTCTTTAATGTGGGCAAATCTGAAACATTGTCACATGAACAAATGAGAAAAAACTGGCTCTTTAAGTAAGTTACATCAGCTCTTCTTTAAAACTGAAGGTTTTTAAGAAACAGCGTTAACTCTACTGTCAAACACAAGAAGATTCTCTTTTGGCCTTGGGTTGTAGCTGCACCTGACACAGGTTGGCTTGAGTCTGGTCTGGATAAAATGAAATATGAAGCATCTGAAGTGAAACCTGCTCCCATTTGTCCAAAAAGTCTGGTCTCAATTAAAGATCACGAGTCCTATGATGAGATAATGACCCAAAACAAAAGCTAAAAACTAAATTTGCTCTTTAGAAGTGCTCTTCTATGAGATCTGATCTATGAAAGGAGCTGAAACATGGAGTATGGTTGACCTTTAAAATGTGAGACAGCTGAGGAAGTTAACCAGTAAACAGAAATACCTGCTGCAGTTGCAGAAATCTTACAGAAGCTGACAAATCACTCATCTGCAGTGACTGCAGGTTGAACAAGAAAATATGAAGTTGAAGGAAACCTCCTATGTCCCAAGGCCAGTTTAAGTGTCCCAAGGCCAGTTTAAGTATCATTAATATTTTTCTTTCTTTATGAATCGATTGTAACTTTTTTTTTCACATTTTTCAACAACCTAAATGGAATTTGTTTTTTAATGTTACGGCTAGGTATTAAAAAAAAACAAAAAAAACCTAACATTTAGCCTTCCCCACTACCCAGTAATGTTGCTCTTATTTTGAAATGTAACCGGAAGTTCTGTGTTAAGAGAGGCGGAAAAAGAAGTTATGGAGATGCAACTAAGTCGAACCGAGACGCCGCCAGTGTTGAACCTGAGACGCCGCTAATGTCTAACCGGTTAACACCATAGACATAATATGCCTGTGGTTAACTCAATCTGCCAATAATGCCTTGTTTTTAGACATAATGTGTCTGTGGTTACGGCATTTTATCGTTCAGCCTTTTTTCTATCGTCCAATCAGATGTGGCCGGCCAGACACGCCCATTTTTCTATCGTCCAATCAAATGTGGCCAGTCAGACACGCCCATTTCCCTATAGTCCATTCAGATATGACCGCCCAGATACGCCTTCCGAATTTGCCTGCAGAGATACCTACTTGGACAAGCAACCATTCACTCAATCACTCACACCTAGGGACAATTTAGAATTACCAATTAGCCTAACATGCATGTTTTTGGTCTGTGGGAGGCAAAAGCGTCAGAAGCATCCATAATGTGGGGGGGACACAATGATGTGTGTAGCGCGTGTGCGCGTGCGTGCGTTTAAAAAAAAGGTGTTCACTAGTGAACAAAAAAGCAACATTTCACCTAGATTTCCTTTAATGTCACACATTTAAAACATGTTTCTCACCAAGTTTGTGTAAATTCAGCTGTGGGTTTAAAGTAATTTTAACTTTAATACACTTTAATAAAGAGCGTCAGGTCGCCACTATTTGTCTTTAAAGAGAAATAAAAAACTTCACCACTGGACTTACTCATCTAAATGATGTTTCTCATGAAGCTTGAGGACAATAAGGTGTGGGGTTTTAAAACATTTCAACTTTAATGCGCCTGAACACACAGCGTCTCTTACACCTGCAGCATCTTACAGCGTGACAGTTACTGCTCAGCTAAGATGCTACAGACGTAGCGCTCCACTTCTCTCCTCCTAACATGAATATATGTTTATGATCAGCACCCCTGGTCAACAACTGCCCGCAAAAAGCTTGCTAAACTGGCGAGCGACTAACACAGAGATGTCTCCGTCTCCTCCACCTGTGCACGTTTTCTGCCGAAGCAGAAGGAGAGCACAGAAACACTGCAGGTGTTACACCATATTCTGTGACCACCGTATATTGTGACCGTGGCAACAGGCTGCTGTGTTTAGAGTTGGAAGTAACCAGGAAAACCTGGAGTAGAGTTTTAGTGGTTTGAGTATTCTCCTATTAATCAAGGGGAATGGATTTGTTCAGGAAGAAAGAGAAACTGCGCCGCCTGAACTAATGTTTCATAGTAAAAGGGGGGGGGGGGGTCCAAATGAACTTTTTTTAATGTGGGGGGGACTTGTCCCCTTCACATATAATGGTTGCGACGCCTATGGTGGGAGGAAACCGGAGTACACGGCGGAAACCCATGCATGCATGGAGAGAACATGCAAACTCCCCCCAGGAAGGCCCCTGGACCGGGATTTGAACCGGCAACCTTCTCACTGAGAGGCAGCAGCCCTATCAGTTGTGCCACCAAGCTGCTTGCAATAATAGTCTCATAATAAAGATGTTAATAAAAATATGAATCTGACTTTAAGAAAAGCCCGGTACCTAAGGCACTTTAGGATTATTATGTCTTGAAAATATTTACTGTAAATGATAAATAATCAACAACTTGATCAATTAAACTTTAATTTTAGAGTTCAAGTTGATTTTTTTTTCTTTATGTCTTCATCCAAAATAGGAGTAATGGTAAAAATTAGAGCCTGACCGATATCTTGGTAAGACCGATAATTTAGATCGATATAGATGTTTAGGGACATATTGGTATCGGTGATAATTGTCCCATTGAACGCTGATATAAGAACTTCTAATTTTCACTCCAAAAATGCTGGGAACCAGCTGTAATTGTACAATGTATCCAGCAGAGTGCTCATGAAGATTACTTTTAAGTCATGGATGTTCACTTAAGTTTCATTTTCAGCACAGACGAAGCAGCGAGCAATACTGTGTAGAGTGTTTTACTGAACAGAGCATGGTACGTTTTTTTTAGTTTTTTTTTACTAATCTGTAAATTAAATCAAAAATAATAAATTCTCTTCAAACCTCCAACCCACTTGTTATTAGCTATGCGTCTCTCACATTAGCAAGTTAATGTTTAGGTAACCTAGCATGGGCTATTGTAAAACTTTATCCAGAACAATAAATTTAACGTAGAGGTAAATATATATCAGTTTTAGTAATATTTTCTTTGTCATCCTCAATGAAATGCATTGTTTGTCTGAAATATTTAATTCTCTGCAAATAAAAATAAACTCAGTTGAGGTCATTAGACTTCCACCATACATGAGTGACTGTTTAAATAATGAACAGAAAGGACATTTCTTTGTTTAATTAATATTTTTGTAACACACTTGATAACTTTATGGTGAATAGTAGAGGATAGAAAATGTGAATGCACGTTAGAAAGACTGCAATGCACCACTTGTAAACCTAGTGTGAGAATTGTGGATCCGCTTAGCTTCATGGTTGCTAACAGCTGATCTAAATAAACAAGCCTCGCTCCACTCGCTGTTTACTTAGATTCTTGATGGTGGACAAAGCTAAAATAATTCAGCATTATATCGGTTATTGGCAGCCGCCTTCCCCTCCCAATATCAGTATCTGCAATAGCCAAAATTTCCAACTCAGATGGGCTCTAGTAAAAATATCTCATTCATTTGAAAAGGTTGACTCAAAATATTATTTTTCTACATTTATTACCAAAAACAATTGTTTCCAACAGATAGATACCAAAAAAATATAAGATGGAACAGCATCTGGACAAACTAAAAACGGAAACATCACAAAAATATTTCACTTCTGCAGAAATAGAGTGTGCTGCGAGCGTCATCACCCTCAGGTTAACCCTTCAAACCGTCGTGGGAACCCCTAAACTCACAGTGTTTTTGTAAACCAGTGCTGAACACACAGAGTGACGATTACATCTCAGCACATTTCATGCAGCAGAATTTCTGAGAATGAGTTCAGTCAATCCACACAAATAATTTTAGCAACCAAAAAGTCAGATACTCTTTAGAAAACGGTGCTTGTGGGATAGCGCTTTTTATTTATTCACCCCCAACAAAGACACAACGCTGATGGGCTGCGAGTGGAATGGTGAGGTGGAGGACGGTGCTGCTGGCACGATATAATAATGACAGGATAAGCAGTCTTGTGGATTCTCTGCCACCCTGGGGGGAACAAAGCATCTACAGTTTGGTTAAAAAAAAAACTGCAGCAAAACAGCAGCTTTTCCTCTCGTGCTGGTGATTTATTCTGACGTCTGCCCTCTCGCGATGTATTCAAGTTCATCTAAAAGTGTCAGAAAAGAAAATTGTCTGGCAAGAGGCTTCATCACAGAGCCAGATGTTTATCTGTGTGAGGGTTACTTTATTTATTTGGGAATTTTAAATTAGAATGTGAGATGGCAAGCTTTCTCTATATTAGGAGAGGATGGAGACGGAGCGCAGACGGAGCACGTTGAGGAAGATTAATGCTAAACTCTGGCCCCTGGGAGCCATTGTTTCTGGATGATTACTTTAGAAATTCACAGTAAGAGACCTCGTCCTTTCTGTTCGCTTCACCTTGAGCTGTCTGCGAACGCGGTCGATGAAGAACCTCCAGCAGTTTTCTCTGGTATCCATCAATCCGGAGCTGCGAACCTCTGGCCTCACGCTGCCAATGATGCTCTCCACCTCGTCGTCTGGGAACAAGTCGGGGATCTCTCCTGAAATTAAAAACAAAGAATCTCATTACTGAGGTACCACCAAGTTGGCTTCAAGTAAGTAAAAGTGCAAAAAAGTTTCTTATCTTGTTGAGATCTGAGCTGACACTGAGCTCAGAGACATTTAAATCAAATCTAGCTGTGTTAATGGAGGTTCTGGCTGCAGGAGATCACACAAAGGACTTATGATAACGTACAGACCTGCTGTAAGTCGCAGCCTCACAGCTCCACAGAGCAGGAAGTGTGTCTTAGCCTAAAACCGATTTCTACTGTAATTACACATGTTAGTGATTAAGTTCTTTATTTATCTCGATTAAACAACATAATTTAAGTTGGTTTCTATCCTCACTCTGATTTGATATCAAGGCAAAACAATATTTTAATGACTTCAGATTATTCACATTTAGTTTCAAAGCATGCAAGCTACTTTGTGCCAAAACTAAACTAAAACAAATGTCTGCAAACTTCAATAAATTGAACCAACACTGCAAAGAAGGAGTGGTTCAAAATGTCTTCATAACCATAAGAGACACTGATAAAGTCCAACAGAAAACAAGTGCTGGGAGGTCCTGCAGGTGGACCTAGGTTGTCAAACACAGCTTTTCCATTTTGGTTTAATTTTTGTTTAAATAATGATGACATGAAGGTATCTATTGTGTGGTGTTCTACATTGTACTTGAATAATTTTAAATCCAGTAAAGATATGATCATTTTTATTATGTCCTGTTACATAAAACCCCAAAACTGAAAGATGGTGGGCTATTTTCCTTTGTCTATTCATGGGTCTGATATTCCTGCTTCACAGAGTAAGTGATGTTTCAAAACTGTATTTTATGATGTGTGATGCATTAATTACTAAATGATCCCATCGATCTAAAGTCCTGCTTGTTTTTGTTGTAGAGCAACGCTGCACAAACTGCTACACGGTGATTTGTCAGTGTGCTGAAGCAGAATCATTGTGACATGCAGCAATTAGCCGACCTGATGCCAGCAGATCATTGACCAGAACGAGGAACTTCTCATCTGCCACTTGAGCGTCCGTCATCAGGAGCACAATGCCAATATTCTTCACGCCAGCTTTGATGTAGAGGGATGCCAGGTCGCTCTGAACAAACGGAGGAGAGAAGGACGGACGTGACTGCATGGATTAAAAACTTATAATTATGGGACAGAACCTTTAGAGGTGTAGAGGCTCTAACCTTCAGGTCAGCGAGACTGTAGCCTTTTCTCAAGGTGATCTGAAAAACCTCCAGATTGGAGATGAAGGCGGCCAGTCGGGTCAGGCTCTGCTTGCCACTGCCGCCCACTCCGACCAGCAGCGCGTTGCCCCGCGGAGACTCCAGAATCCGGTTGATTCTGCAGCTGCATGCAAAAAGCAGACCGACCGGGGTGGGGGTGGTTACAGGGAAACTACTTGAAAACATCTGACTCGTAGAATAACAAACAGGAAGTTTGGTTCTGACCCGTTCTGCCTGGTAATAGCAAAACATCTTGTGAACCTGCAGATGGTTTTGGATGTCACTTCTGGAGAATAACTACTGGATACATGTCTGAAACTAATTAACTTGTGGAGTGTACCTGTGCAACTTTTCCAAATGAGTGTTTGACTAACTGATGTCATCTCTTTTCAATTCTGATTGGCTGATGAGACGTTCAGTGGAAGAGGCTCCACCCACCAGGAGCCTGAGATGTTGGTGTGATGTCACATAGTTGCTGGCTCTGCTCTCCATCTCGAGGCTTGCTCCTGCTCTGTCCCTTATCGCAACCATTGCTGCACATAGCTACTTTTGTTAATAGTTAGTTATTGTGTAGAGTTACCAGCTCTGCTGGCTATTATGCTTTACAGGTTTTGGTTGTAGGGTTAGTATCCTGGATTATAGGGTGAGGGGAGCGGCCCAAATCCAACGACAAAATCCTGGCTGGTTCCAGGCTTCTCCCTGTTTAACTTGGCTCCCAACTCCCGTTTCTGTCTAGATTATGGTGTTTATTAAGATTTTTTTTTTTTTTTTTAACGTTACAATCATCTGGACTCTGTACGCTTTGTGTCCTGTGCATCACTTTTAGACATTTGGACCATTAAAGAGATGACAAAAAGTTGTGACCACATCCAGTCAAATTTGTCAAACACAAACGTTGGCTAGGATTCAGTCAAGTTTATAGATATTGAGCTAATCTTTTGTGTGGTAGTGACTGAGAGTCATTTGCAACACATATTCTGAGAGCTAACAAGTTATTTGTTTAAAACTTTGCCATTAACACTTGGAGTAAACTCTATTAACAAAATATCTTAGAAACGATGGACAGATTTGATTAAAACTCCTAGAAAACAATCATGCACATCTACAGCTCATCATCTATTCAAGTCAACATCATTCAGCCAATCGACATTAGCAAAGACATAAATGCCTTTGACTCAGTCACATTCAGAGTTTTAAAAATATGGGATAAAAATGTTTTTCAAGGTTTGACTAACAAGTATTTTATCTCCACTGTTTCTAAGCATAAAATTATCTTAGTTTAAAACTCTGTCCTGAAGGTGGTGAGTGAAGAGCATTCCTTTAAACAATACTTGGTCATTAAGTCCAAACTGCACATGACTCAGAAGAACATGTTTGCCTTCAACAAATCAAGAAGAATGTTCTCTGCTGAACTGATTTCATTAACACGACTGTTGCTCCGTTTCTCACGTTTAACATGCAGAGCCACAAATCTCAGCTGCTGTTTTCCACGCTCGTAGAGTGCTTGACATTTTGAATTTCACATCTTTCTAATGATCGTTTTTGCTGCAGCTGTAATAATGTTTCAACAGTTTTCAGTGATTTCACATCGGATGGCCTTTTAACTTCTTGGACACAGCCTGGCACTTAGCGCAACCATTCTACACATTCATTTGACCTTTATTTCTACAGGCTAATCCCACTGAGCCTCGGGGACTCATTTACAAGAATTTAACAAAGAGTGATGACATCAGTGGACAACAAAGAGAACAGTAGACAATCATAAAAGAAAGCATACAAATTGAGAACAACAATTAAAAGAAAATGGTATTAAAAAATGAAACAAAACAAAAACAGCTAGATTAACAACACTTGCTCTTTTCAAGGGCAGACGTCTCCTCCTCTCCCTCTCCGCTTTGTTTTTGCTCTGTCCCGTCTGTGAAACTGCTTTAGAGCCTCTCTTCTACAAATCTTAAGAATCATAACTATGGACTTGGATTTGGTCAGTTGGTCCCTCAACACATTTGATAACATTTCTTTGAAGAAAAGACAGGCTTTAGGCGAGCCGATTTGCCCTGTTGGCACGTACGCAGCTGGATATCTCATCGACTTAGCAGATATAGCCATGTCATCAAGTCTTCAGTCATCTGTGAATTTTAAGGATGCATTTATAATTGGATTTATGATAAGTGGTTCCTGCTTTTTGGATTCGGCTGGTTCCTGGTCTATCAACAAACAAGGAAGTCATCGGCAGCAAATCTGGACCTGGTGTGGCTTCCTGCCTTATATGATGGCTTGGTTCGTGCCTCGAGCACCCAGACTTTTGGCAGAATGGATCAGATCTCAGGGATTATTCTCAAGCACGTTCCATTGGTATGGTCATTTAATTTGGACGTTTCGAATCAGAGTGGACCGACACAGACTCAAGGTAGATGTCATTAAAGTTCTGTCTGTCCCCAAAACAATCGTGTTTATCTGAATTTGGTTCAGTGACTGGCCTTGACAGGCCATCTTATCTCAACCCGCCTGGATGTTTTGTAAACCTGATGCTCAGCCCCTCCCTCCCCTCCTACTGAGGATTTTCCATGGACTTTTCAGAGGAGCCCAGCTGAATGTGCACAGATCTCTCCAGAGGGAACTATTTGAACTAAGTGATTTTATCCTGATGTTTGCTCATGAGCGTGATTTTGTGACTGAGTGATTTTTTCTGAACTCTGCAGTGCCTCTGTGTGTTGTCTCTGGCTGCTCACCACCCTTGCGCCCCCCCTCCCCCTGTGTAATGTCGGTGTCATTATGTGCTAGTGTGTAAGGTTTTTTTTCATTATCACACTGTTGACCTTCAAACAGAGGTTAAACGCGTGTTAGGAATTTTTTTTGTCTCCAAACCCTATGTGTAAATTTTCACCACTTTTATTGTCTATCCAAACAGGTCTCACTTGTAAATGAGTCTTTGAGGCTCAATGTGACTATCTGTTTAAATAAAGGTTGAATGAATTATAAGGCATTGTAGAAAACTAATAACAGGAACATGTCTGCAATAGTTTTTGCCAGGAACTTAACAGATGTTTGAAGCCACTTAGAGAGGTCAAGGTTGAGAGCTTCCGATCTTTTAGAAAGATATGAATAATTTATGAATTATGAATCTGATATGAATTATTTGGTCATGTATTAACTGTTTGTCAGCACAGATACGTATAGGGTTGGAACTGTGAATGTGGGTCTATGCGAGTAAAAAAATATCTGTAACTTTATGTGTCACAGTCATGGCTACAAATAGTGGGATTACAACATTTGTGTAGAACAACAACTATGTGACAACACAACTACAGTATAAACGTTTTAAAGTATAAAATGTAGAACTCTTTTGTAGGACTGAATCGTTAATTGTCCTTTTTTTTTTTTTTTTTTTTTTTACATACTCTTAAGTATAGATGTTAATTCTAAAACTAGGGAGTTCCTGAAGAAACTTTGACAGGGAATGCCATGGTGCGACCGTTTTAAAATTTAGATTTGACAGTACTATATGTTGGAGTTCGCTCTCAGCTACTGCTACACTAAATTTCAGCTCAATATCTCTAAAAATGACTGATTTATAATATATTTCCTTTAACTCAGGCAGCCATCTTGGATTTTTGATTTGCAGTCAGGGTCTATTAGGGATTGTTCTCAGCTACCATTACACCAGCTGAATAGCTCTAAAAACATTGAAGCTATGTCCATTTGAAATTAGCTTGGGTGGCATTATTAGATTTTTAATTCAGAATGTGTTGTGTATCAGCTACCACCAAACCAGATTTCAGCTCAATATATTTTACATTAGCTTAGTTATAGTATTTTTTCCCTTTTAGCTAAGGTGGCCATCTTGGATTTATTTTGCATAAGGACTGTATAACAACTCGCTCTCATTTACCAAATTTCAGCTCAATATCTCAAAAATTGCCTGAGTTCTAGTCAATTTAGAGTTTTCTGAGGAATTCAGAGATAAACACAGAGTTCTGTCAGTGTTTTTCAATGAACGAAATGGCGTCTTGGTTTACAAATTACGTCGCCATGGTAACTCGTGACGCCTATAAAAGTAATAGCATACATCACAGTGCCAAGCCGGTCGTTTTGATATAACATTTGTGGGGGTACACGTTGAGGTTCAGGCCACATTAAAGTTGATAGAAGAGCAAAACCCTTAAGGCACTCCCCAATTATTATTACTAACAATAAGATAACCTTCCGTAAACCTTTTCTTTTATACCTTTCCCTTAGTTTCCAACCTGAACTCACATGTGGGCCATGGCGTCCTCAAACAGCACCAGGTTCAGAGTGGCGTTGACCTCGTTGTAGCTGTCCAGAACCTCCAGCAGAGTTTTATTCAAGCTGCTCCAGGACTCTGCAGCCATGTACCTGGCCTCCCCCAGCCCTCGGGCAAAGTGGCAGTACAGGTTCATCTCTCTAGTCTGCTGCAGTACCTCATCCATGTCCTCAGGAGGGGGTAGAGGGTGGAGGGACACACACACAGCAGTGAACACACAGAGAAACACACTTCCAGCATAACGTTACTGTTAAAGCTAAACGGTCCTGACAGGGATATCTGAGCTGAGGCTGACCCAGTTCCTGTCGGCACTGCTGGTTCCTAAATGTTTCACTGTAGGTTATGTTGGCCTCTAATAAAAAGATGGATTTCCTTAAACAAAACGTAAATGAGAATTAGCTAATTATCACCTGCCACCATGAAAAGTCAGCTGTACTGGAACTTCCTGTCTGAGTGTTTGTTTGATTGTCTCTTAGCTTTCATGATCCAGAGAACGGATTTTAATAAAACTATCGGAAACTATTGATTAGATGTACATCTACAGATGATGAACTGTAGCAACTCAAGGCAGCTCAATTCAATATGGCTGCCACAGCTATTAAAACTTAGCTAACACAAAACGGAATACAACTCGGTCAGTTTTTAAGAAAATATGGTAAACTTCGGTGTGGTTTTAGCTGAAACTCATCTCAACATAATCTGAGCTCTAAGATTTCAAACAACCTTTGTATAAAACTTTGATTTGCAAAGCAATAAAGGCAGTAGGCGATATGAAAGAATACAGCTGTTCCCTGAAATCAGGCCTCCAACATGTTGTGGTGCTGTCGTTACTTTCACGGCATCGTGTTCAAACAGATTCAGGAAGTCCTTTGTCCCTCAAGCCATCAGACTGTTCACCTCCTCCCCATACAGTAAAAATAGAGCCTTGTAAATCTGCGGCACCTCGGACATGTATGTATTCAAGGATTCAATTTTTTTTTTTTTTGTCATTTACATCACATGCGGTACATGAGGTGGAACGAAACTATGTACCAGTTATATCCAACAAAAAAAAAACCCAACAAATTATAAAGTAAAACAGTAATAAGATCCAAGACATGAACTAAGAAATACATAAAACTAAGAATACACTAAGCACTAATATTACAAAACAATGCATCAATGTATGTATGTGTATAAACATGTACATATGCATATTTATATACTGTATATGTATGTATATGATGGAATGTATGCTTAGATGTGTATGTATGTGTACATATACTGTACATAGGTTAATCATGAATGTAGTTATTCTGCTGCTTTTTATATTATTTTAAACATATTTTCTTCTGTATAATTAGAAAATGCTACTGGACGCCTCGAATATCCCCTCTGGGATAAATAAAGTGTCTGTCTGTCTGTCTGTCTCATTTCTAACTGAATCAAACTCTACACAGAGAACCTTCTTAGGAAGTAAAAAGAGGATTTTTATCAATGATGAGAATCATGTCATAAACTCACGATGGCTTTAATCTCCTGTTATTGAACAGACAGAACCCACTTCTCCAGTTCCCTCTCTCTGCAGGAGGGCGTACACAAACACTTGTTAGGTTCTTCATCGTGGCATGACTAGTATGTACCAGAGAGGGCAGTGAGAGAGCAGCGGACAGGAAACCATTAAAATTTTTCCCAATTTGCTGAACTGCCAGTGCAGACCCTGACAGCTGGACCCCCCCATATCAAACTGGTTATTATTCTCACCAATTCCCTGCTGGTCCTCTGGCCTTTCTCACTCTCCCCTAAACCTCTTCCTCCTTGGTGTGTTGGTCACTGATTTTCAGGTGTGAACACTGAGCAGGCAGCCTAACGATTCCCCCTCCACACCCACACACTCCCAGCACTTCTGTCTTCCTCCACCGAACTTGATAAAACTCTCACCTCATAAAACTTTTTCACCGTGTCTGCCTGCAGCTTATCAAAGACCTGGATGTCCTGCTCCTCCACCAGCTTGTCTCGGTAGACCCGTTTTGACTCGTGCAGGTAGATTTTCAGCATGTCTGATGGAGCTGTTAGACACTCGCTGGTACAGAAGAGAATGCCCTGAGCAGAGAGAGTGGGGAGAAAATGAGTCTGTAAGTTTCATTTCAGAGGCTGATTCAGACCATTTACAGCAGAACATGGAGGTAAATACAGCACTGATGCTGTGTATAAACCACTTGATACTGAGTGGGCAGGGTATTTGTGACTGTGACAGAAAATCTGATAATGCTGACAGTACTTGTGTCAGGATCAGGTGGACAGGAACGAACCCAGTTGTGCAGACAGGAC